TCGTCTTCAGTTATGAATGCCGCCGAATCATCTTCAGCTATGTTCGCCGAACAAAAGGCACGAAAAGTGTATATTTGCTTTGAATTGTTTGGCTAGCTTAGTTCCTAGGAGTATTAATTGTAAGTAATTGGTAGTGTGTAGTGGCGGTTAAGAATATCCACTACCCCATATCTTCCCGTGGGTGTCGTAAAAGGCGACAAAGGGAAACAGGCAGGAGATGGGCAGCAGCATCTTCCTGATAACAGCAATATCACAATAAAAAACTGCGGTTGCGACCATCTGTCCCAAGGACGTGTCGGATTTATCGTCCACAAGTCTTTCGTTAACAACGTTGTAAAGATTGGGAGTGTGTCGACGAGGGTCGCGTACCTTATACTCAGAATCACCAAATGGTATTCCCTAAAGGTCATACAGGTTTACGCACCAATCTCGGCACACCCCAATAACGAGGTGGAGGAAATGTATGAGGATATCTCTAGAGCCATGCATTCCTCCAAAACCCAATATACGGTGTTAATGGGAGACTTCAACGCAAAACTAGGCACAAGAGAGAACGATCAGCTGAAAGTAGGGAAATTCGGAATAGGGCAACGGAACCCGAGAGGTCAGCAGCTGGCCGACTTCATGGAGAAAGAGGGACTCTTTATGATTAACTCTTTCTTCCAGAAGCAGCCCCACAGAAAGTGGATCTGGTCGAGCCCCGACGGTTCGAGAAAAAATGAGATTGACTTCATTATGACGACCAGACGACAACGGTTCAGTGATCGAAAGGGTGAAAACCGGCAGCGATCACCGAATGGTGAGAGGCACACTGAACCTAAACGTTAAGTTGGAGAGGTCACGTCTAATGAAGTCAACGAGCCGTCCCCCTCGTGCTCAAATCCAAAGTCCCGAAACCTTTCAGCTCGAGCTACGAAACCGTTTTCAGTACCCAGAAGATTGCAATGCAGTGGACGATATGAATGACAAGCTCGTGGAAACTGTCCATGTGGTCAGAGTCCAAGTTTAGGAAGACCCGCCGCAGAAGAACACAAAAACTCTCCGATCACACTCTTAATATCATGGCTGTTAGACGGGATATGAAGCTGCAGTCTTCAGTAGATTTGACAGCATACAGGCAACTGAACAGACAGATCTCCAAATGCATGCGGCGGGACTTACGCAACTTTAATACTGCTCGTATTGAAGAAGCGATCGAGCGGAACCAGGGCTCCAAAGTCTTTGCTAGAGATCTGTCTGCCGGAAAGAGCCAACTGTCGAAGCTGAAGACCGAGTGTGGCAGCGTCGTTTCCGGGACACCTGAGATTTTGTGTGAGAGTGAAAGGTTCTATGGGCAGCTGTATACATCATCGTTGGAGCCACACGCAAGTGTGAGAAACGATCCAAGAGTGAGTCGTATCCGACACTATTCCAATGATATCCCGGACGTCAGTCTGAGCGAGATTAGAATGGCTCTCCAACACCTTAAAAACGGCAAGGCCCCAGGCGAAGATGGAATTACAGCGGAGCTTCTGAAAGCGGGTGCAAAACCGGTACTTGAAGTCCTTCAGAAGCCCTTTAACTCCGTCCTCCATGGTGGCATTATACCGGAGGCGTGGAGTAGAAGTGCGGTGGTCTTGTTCTTAAAGAAAGGTGACAACGCTCTCTTAAAGAACTGCAGACCGATTTCCCTTCTGAACCGCGTCTACGTGCTGTTTTCGAAGGTCATTACGAATCGTCTCGCACGCAGACTTGACGACTTCCAGCCTCCCGAACAAGCCAATTTCCGAAAAGGCTTTAGCACCATAGAGCACATACATACCCTTCGGCAAATTGTACAAAAGTCAGAGGAGTACAATTTGCCACTATGTCTGGCGTATGTGGACTATGAGAAAGCCTTTGATTCCCTCGAAATTTGAGCGGTGCTAAAGTCCCTTCAGCGGTGCCAAGTGGACTGTCGGTATATCGAAGTGCTGAAGTGCTTGTACAGTAGGGCTACGATGGCTATCCGAGTACAGAACCAGAGTACGAAACCTATCCAATTGAGGTGTAAGACAGGGTGACGTTATATCACCGAAACTGTGTAAGGTGCGCGTCCAAGCATTGTTTGCTCCTTGTTTATGTTAGTTTTTTTACAAGTACCCTGTTAATCTACATCGTATTTTGTTTATACTTAGAAATTAAAATTATTTAAAATGTATACTTACGATTTGAACGTGTTTGAGTGAAATGATTTCGATATATTAGTGTACGCCTAGGATAAGATTATTATTTGTTTGCAAGTATTTAAACTTTCTCATGTAAGTGAATTGTTGTAAATTCTTATGAGAAATAAAGATATCTCAAACCTAAAAACTCTTCACCGCTGCATTCGAAGACGTTTTCAAGGTTCTGGATTAGAAAGGATACGGTATTAACATCAATGGCGAGTACATCACTCACCTTCGATTTGCCGACGATATAATCCTTATGGCAGAATCGCTGGAGGACCTAAGCACTATGCTCAATGACTTCAATAGTATCTCCCAACGGATAGGTCTTAAGATGAACATGGACAAAATAAAGATCATGTTTAATGTCCATGTCACACCTATGTCGGTAGTTGTCGGGATCACTAAGCTCGAAGTTGTTGACAAGTATATTTACCTGGGACAAATAGTCTGACTAGGTAAGTCCAACTTCGACCGAGAGGTCAATCGACGGATTCAACTCGGCTGGGCAGCGTTCGGGAAACTACGACACATCTTCTCATCAGACATTCCTCAAAACCTTAAAACGAAATTGTACAACCAGTGCGTGTTGCCAGTGATGACTTACGGATGTGAGAGGTGGTCCTTCACTGCTGGCCGTATGAGGAAGCTCAAGGTTGCTCAGCGAGCTATGGAGAGGGCTATGCTCGGAGTTTCTCTGCGTGATAAACTTAGAAATGAGGATATCCGCAGTAGAACGGATTAGTAAGCTGAAGTAGCATTGGGCCGGCCATATAGCTCGAAGAACCGACAACCGATGGGGAAAAAAGGTTCTCGAGTGGCGGCCTCGTACCGGCGGACGAAGTGTGGGGCGTCCCCCCACTAGATGGAGTGACGACCTGGTAAGACATCCAGGGAGTCGATGGATGCAGGTGGCTCAGGACCGTGCTTTGTGGCACTCCTTGGGGGAGGCCTATGTTCAGCAGTGGACTAGTGAAGGGCTGTAATGATGATGATGATGAATAATAATTTAATATATAATTTAATTATATAATAATTTTAATTCAGTGCAAGTGTTTTTGTTCCTTTTATGTAAATCTTTACTCTTTATTGGGGCCCCCAACAAATTTTGATACAGGGCCCATCTAAGGCACGCTACGCCACTGAGTATTATAGTATTAGTAATAAGACGGTTGTTCAACCATTTTAAGCAAAATTAAACAATAATACAAACGAATTTTTTTTAACAGGAGACTTGTTTTTAAGAAACTTGTTTACAACTTGAGTTTTGTGAGCGATCGCAATGAGTGCTACTGTGCTATTATTTGTTACTTATCGGAGTATTTTTTCACATGGTTTAAAAACCCACACAGTAAAAAGGTACTCTTTTTACTGTGTGGGTTTTTAAATCATGTTCTACAAGTTAAAAAAGTTTTTCAACACTTAAAAATTTCGAATTCTCAAAATATCCAGAAACAAAGCTGTAGGCATGAACTACTTGCAAAATAATGAAACCTGATATCCGTCCGGATGAGAGGCCAGCAGAAGATCCAACAGGGAAGGTGAATGAACCTCCACGTCTGGAATCCGTGTAGGCGAAGTAACCAGCTGTATAAGACCATATGCCAAAGCATATGGTCTTATACATTAAAGTCATAAACAGATCTCCCCGTACGATCGGTTGAACGTGAACCGAGCCATTCGGCGTGGTGGGTGTCAAAATGGCAAAGGATCACGATTTCTGCGGATGGGATCTGCTGTAACAAGGAATATGTAGCCATTTGGACATGGTTGATGAGTCAGTCTGTTTTGGCATTACCGTTATGGGACCTATAGTCACCCGTAGACGCGGGGATGGTTGTCGCTGTCTACGCGCAGCCATAGGATGGACAGGTAGCTTCAAAACTGCCGAGGCGTCGAAAACAGATGTCCTCTCGACGTATACGCAAACTCCAACCCGGGCACAAAGGAGTGTTCTAATTTGTACCCTGGGTAGGAGAGATATGAGTTGGGGCCTCCGGCCAAGTGCACTCACCAAGCGAAACGCGGAGGTAAACCTCTAATTCACGCTGGTATTCTGTGAGGTCGTGGTACCACCCCAGTTCGAGCCGGCCCATCCGTGCGACAGCAAAAGCTGCCGCGTGGCTCTAACACTGTTAACATCTGCATCGCCATCCACATAAATCAAAGCGGATGCAGATGTGGAGCAAGTCACGACTATATCATAAAAAGAGAATGCACATGCTGGTGACAAGATCCAACATTCGTTTTATTTGATCGCGGCAATTCAGGAAGCGTCAGTCACAACGTTCGTCTCCTTTGTTTGACTAAGTTTATTGTGTGTTCCATAAATATTTCGTCATATAAATTATGTACTAAAAAGTGAATGAAAATGTCTTTTTGATTGAATTGTAATTTCAATCTAGAAGTTTAAAAACTCATACTCAGACTCGATGAAACGTAGCGTGTGAGTGTAGAGAACCAGAGACCCACCCTATTTACTGGAAGCAAGGCATTCCATCTCAGTCCTCACAAGTGACAACACATCTGCATTTTGATTCGTAGTTGAGGATAGATGTAGATGTCTATGGGCCATAGCAACCACTTATCATCAGGTGAACTGTGTGCTTGTTTGTTACCCTTATCTTGTAAAGAAAAAAAAATAAAGTTTCCTCTATGAGACATATTAACAATTTTATATTGCAATCGTCACATAGCACTCCTACACGCTCGCGTATTGTGAGGCGTGCAATGTCAGACTTGTTACGAGTGCAATGATGACAATAATGAATAAAGAAAACATAATTTTCCTTACAAATAGTTTATTTCACTTTAAGCTACAAACTCGTATGGAATTGGAGCCAAAAGGATTGGTTTCTCAATACCGCTAACAATGTGAGCAGCTTTTGGTGGTTCAGGCTGTCTCTTTAGCTTAACAATCTTGCCTGCAGCTTTAGCTTCCTTCAGGAGCCTCTCGTTTTCCTTCACACGCTTAAGGAAATCTTCTCTGCATTTGGAGTGTTTGACATGCTCTACCCGGATGTTGATTCTTTTGGGTAGGATGCGGCCTCGGACTCGCTTGTTTACGATAACGCCCAGGGCATGTGCTGTGACATTGTAGACACGACCAGTTTTGCCATGATAGACTTTGTGTGGCATACCTTTCTGGACTGCACCATTGCCCTGTAATAGTGAAAAATACGAATAAATTCCAGTATCTCTTATTCTGTATACAAATTTATACCAATATTAATTTATGGTTGCTGCGGGACCAAGTGCATAACACTTCCTTTTTCTCTTTAATCTCTATAAACTTTTGGCTTACATAAAGTATCTATAATAAAGTTATAACAGTACGAGTTCAGATCTTCATATTTTTTAAAAGTAACCCTAGCATTATAGAGTACAACCTTTGTATAACAAACCTCAATAGAATGATTTCCTTGATTTAACAAATTCTGATAAATCCCTTAGAACTAGCCATAAGAGTTAATACAAAATATACCTTTACATTATGAATAAATTTTGTTAAACCTGTTTATAAAGATTATTCAATCATTGCAAAACATAAATAGAAGGTATATTTAAGCTCTGCATAGAGTATTCTACCAATCTATCTAACAAGAATGTCTTGACAGATTTGGACACATTTAATTTATCATAAGACAATCCAGGAATTCAAACTGTCATAATGAATTAATGTTTAGTGTTGTAAGGCATTAACTACAATGTGTTTTACTTTTTTTTAAGCTTGCTTATCTTGCTAAAACGAATTTTAGACCAACCTAACCTCTATATAACAATCTTCATTGTAACAAATCACTTGGAATAATGAATGCTTTCTTATCACCTTCAGATTTGTTACACTAGTCTTTGGCTCTACTAGGATTTGCTTCCTGTACTGTGCAGGCCAGTTTACATATATAAATTTTACAAGGACAAACCATACTATGCCATATAAATAATTTAAGTAAAAAAGTAAAATTATAGCCTAAATATGTCCCACTGCTGGGCACAGGCCTCCCCTCATTCCTGAGAGGGTTTTAAGGCAAGGAAGTGCCCCAATGCGGGTTGGCGAACTTCACATGTCTTTGATATATATTTTTTTCTTGTTCCTTAGATTATTATTCAATCATTGCACTAAATAGATTTGATTTATGACTCTCTCCGTAATAGAGATTCTACTGAGCTGTGGAAATTCCTTTGTTCGGTTTCCTCACTATGTTTTCCTTTACCGCCGAGCATGTGGTAAATCAGCACTTAAAATTGCAATTAACAATTTTATCGAACCCGGTTTGATCGCATACTGAGAAATTTACAGTAAACACTAACCATCTGAGCTACCACGGCTCTATACAAATACTTAATAGTATTTTTTATTTAACTTTCCTTATTTAGTATAGAACCTGTTTCTAAATAGGGGAAGTTAAATTCAATAACATTGTAACTTAAAGCATCAAAGTGGTTTAACACACAACTAAGCAATTGATGAGTTAACACATGCATTATTAACTTTAATGGTAACCTATTTATTATTCCAACTCCAATAAAGTATTTTCGATAACCAAAGTTACTGGAGGTATAAATAGAAATAATAAGTGTTTTCATTTCTAATTTGAATTATGTGCATCATACAGTTGAAGAGAATTTGTTAAAAATATTACATTCTATTTCTAGAATTGGAATTTGGATTCTTTTACTTATTATAATCTAGTCATCATCAATATATTAAAATCCACTACTGAACATAGGTGTATATATTTCCCCAAATATTGCCATAGTTGTCACACTTGGCAGGCAGGTTGGCAATTCAGATTTTTTTAGTTGTTATTAGGAAGATGTTGCTGCTCATCTTCCGTTTCAGTTCCCTTCTGTCGCCTCTAAAAACACTCACACGGCACAAGGTAATGAAAAATGAATGGGGTTGTGAATTCTTTTAAGCCGCCATTCACGGCGATACGCTATGGACCAATGTTTAACGACAATCCAACCTGGTGCCAAGTGGTGATAAAGCTTTAGATGGCTCGTATTAATCATGAAGTGGACTGGTACTTTTAGTATGCATACCCACCCTTATGTCAACGATGTCTCCAACTTTGTAAACTTTCATATAAGTGGATAGCGGTATGGTTCCATGTGTGCGGAACTTGCGGGCGAACAAGTCCCTAGTACCGCGACGATAACCCTTGGAATTCGTCATATTGACACCTGAAATCAAATGTATTGAGTTACAAACCGTACGCTGCACGTGGCCTCACATTTAAATCTTACTATAAACATTATGTTTTGTACTGATGGATTACTACTTCATGTATATTACAACACATTGTGGCTTAAAATTAGTACCACATGATATTTTATACCGTTTTAATATTTTAAAATTGATTATTAGCAATATATTCACCTTAACTTTACACTGCTTGGCCCTAGAGGCTAGAGAAAGAAAAGAAAAGAGGTTAGTTTGTCTTTGATGAGTGAAATAAATGTTCAAAGTTGCCATATACGAATAAAATTAAAAAACAACCGAGTATATTAATTTACTTATTATTCCGTGTTATTAATAAGTTAGAAGTTATATTATATAAAGATGTAACATTTGTTAAAGTTCAAAATTTGATGAAATATCGAAAGATTTGAAATCGAAAAGAAAGGTAATACTTAAATACGGACATTCTACTCATAATGAGGAATATTTTAAAGTTAAAGAAATCAGTATCACCTAAAGTTAAATAAATCAGTATTACGTAAACGAAGAAAGAACTAACGTCAAAATAATAAAATTAAGCAAAATACCTGACTTTGCGATCACTGGCGAATGTTGCTTGTAGGCACATTCGTGTTTGTTTAACCATCTGATTATGGCCGATAAATTGTGATTGTTTACAAATTATTGTTTCATAATTGATTGCGCTATCTATTTCATAATTATTTGCAATAATGATCATTTAAAAATTAAACAATAAATTGATTTCAGTTTTCCTTATTTACAATATTAAAGCTTTTGATTTAGCTACTGGACTGAAATGTATACAGTATTAATATCATGAGGTATAGGTATAGGTATAGGTAGTATAAACCTCTGCAGCGTGATGTAAGTAATATTGATTTGACCCCTATTGTTGACAATACTAATATTAATGATAAGGTTTGTAATTTTAATGACATAATTTTGAAGATATACAATAACCATGCCCCACTTAAACGCGTAAAGATAAAGCGTAACCTATCACCATGGATTACACGTGGTATAATGGAGTTAATGGGTCTGAGGGACAAAGCTAAGCGTAGGTATAAACGTCTCCCATCTGAAAATAACTTAAATCGTTTTAAAGTTTTACGAAACCACTGCAGTCGTCTGTGTTGGGATGCTAAAAAAGGCTACTTTTATGACTCTCTCCGTAATAGAGATTCTACTGAGCTGTGGAAATTCCTTTGTTCTGTTGGTGTCAGCAGGTAAATGATCTAAACTAACATTTCGCTACTCCTCCTATGACTTTAGATCCCTACATCAAATCAAACACATTACTCACATTGTCGCGTAACCTGAAAACACACGTTTTCCCTTTTCAACTTTCCCTTGTGACGGAGAAAGATGCCATCTATCCAAGCCATCACTTCATCTCCTGTTAGTAACGACGGTCTATGCTCGAAGATGATTATGCCAGTTCTACCTCTACTTCATCTTTTTCATATCGTGATTTAATTTCTTACTCACATATTTAATTTCTCCATGTCATCCCCATCTTTTCCTTCAGTTTGGAAACAAGCATATATAATTCCTTTACCTAAGGTTTCTAATACTTCTTCTTTATCTCAATTTCGTCCCATATCTATTGTACCCTTTATTTCTAAAGTTCTGGAACACATTATCCATTGGCAACTTTCTTTCTTCTTATCGTCTAACAATCGGTAAGACATGCAAGAAGTCGATGGATGCAGGTAGCTCAGAATCGTAATTTGGTGCATTCCTTGGGAGAGGTCTATGTTTTGCAATGGAATTGTGAAGGGCTATAATGAAAAATAAAATAATAAAATTTTAACAATGAACAATCAAGCCAAAGTTATGCAGCGGAACTGTAGAAGCATTGCTAATAAAAAAAGTGAATTAATGTATTTAATACAGAAATTCGGCAATTATATCTCACTTTCGGAGACTTGACTGTGACCAAACTTATCTTTCAACATTCCAGGATATACTTTTTAAAGAAACGATAGATTACGGCCTGGCCACGGGGATCGCCAGCACGAACAGCGAACCGACAGGCGGGGCGACACTTCGCGCGACGTGGTTTGAGGGCGACGGGCAGTCACGTTCGCCGCCGCCACGAGGATAGGCCGAGAGTAATATGTCTTTATCAAAGTTAACTCGATATTGCTTAAAAAGTAATCGTTTTTGGTTCAAGACATAATATTTGGAAGAGATGGTGGAGTACATGATTTGAATACGAATCGGGTGATAGATGGAGAATTCCACAAAAAGTACGAGAAGTACAGTATGTATCCAGAAAAATTTTTCGAGTAAACCAGAATGAGTGTCGAAACTTTCGATTATATTCTTGTTAATACTAACTACTAATTCCAAAGCTGCTAGCAGGCCTAGTAAGTATCTCAGCAATAAAAGTCAGCATTTTTTCGCGGCGAAAACAACTAAACTATTTTGTATCCTATACTATACGACGCGTCTGCCACTCGACTCCTTGCGTCGTACTGATTCAAAAAAAAAGCCTTTGTTTCAATCGCCCGCCGCGCCGCCAGTCGCCCGCACGGTTCGCTCGGTAAAATTCGGCGGTCGCTTCGCCACTCGCCGCTGCGCGTGGCTTGATCCGTACATTTCTATACATTTATTTTAGACGCTAGACGCCTCGTCGTTCGCACCGCGCGAATATTTGCTATGGCGAATGTCCCGTGGCCAGGCTGTTAGATGAATATGTCGGTGTGGCAATTTTAATTAACTCTTTTTATCTGTATCTGTCATTAGCATCAAGGACTATAGAAATAATGACCACTGCCGCTTAACTATGTTTTCTAAATATTTAGAATATGAAACATTTTCTGACTGTTTATAAATAATACATTAAATACACAATAATAATAATAAATAAGATATAAAGGCATGGCTTAAAGAACAAGCATCCAAGCTAAAAAGTCTTAATTTAAAAAACAAGGACAAGAACCATAGATAACACAAATAAGGAGAGGAGCAAGTCAAGGACTATGACTATAATTATACAATTAAAGCTAATCCACAAACTAGTAAGAAGTGCTGAGAAGTGCTAGCGCAAGCTAATCATTCGGGTAGAATCAGGTAGAATCTACTAGTCAGTGATGCCAACTTAGCAACTTTATAGCTAGATATAGCTATTTTTTGGTGACGGACAGCTACAACTTAAAGAAATTTGTAGCTAAACTTTTTAGCTACTTTTTCTAGCAACTTTTCATTTTATCATGAGACTTGAGGCTATCGAGATTCGTAGAGTAGGGTACCGAGTCTCGAAAGAAAAAATAAAAACTAAACGCGCATCTATGGTCATAGATGCTATGGTAGTGGTAGGCTTAGGTCGGTGTTGGCCGGGAATTCCCCGTTTCCTGCTGCGTTGCGACGGATTACTCACTAACTTACCACTAACCAAAATAGTACACGCTACTCGTATTCCACCTTGTGTTGTTTTGTTTTATCCATATAAACTAATTTTATTTGAAAATGGATTTATCTTCGAACAAAAAGCGTACGCACAGAAATATAGACCGAAGCGGGAAAATATGGACGAATTTAAAGGTTCGTTGAGTTTCATAACTCTGAACTCAATCCTCTGCATTAGTGACTCCCTCAGGAAAAGTGGTAAATGCTGCTATAACCGTGTTTTGCCTAAAGATGTACTGTATAAAATGGGCACCGCTAAAAAATATTCGGAAGTAACGACCAAAGACACTGAACCCCAAATATCGACATCTTTTTCTTTGATTGATTAATTTTTAACTTATTTTTTTTATTCAATAACGTACAGTCACGAGCAATAATATGTAAACAACATAAGACTATATTATATTATATTTATTGTTGTCTTTTGTGGCACAAATAGTTTTATTTCGGAACGCTTAGCGTGACAAAGTTTTATGTTGTTCACATATTATTGCTCGTGACTGTACACTGTTAACGTGGTAGAGCCATGCTGCAGCTATATTAGTAGTATAGTTGTAGCACGAATGGGTCAGCTCGACCAGGGAAGGACCACGCTCTCACAGAAAACCAGCGTAAAATAGCAGCTTAACACTGCTGTGCTTCGTATGGTGAGTGTAGAGAACCGGAGACCCTTTTTACTGGCAAAGAGGCAATCCATCTTAGTCCTCACGGTTGACAACGCATATGCATTTGAGTTTTTATTGAGGATAGATGTAGATGTCTATGGGGTCACAGTAACCACTTACCATCAGGTGGACTGTGTGCTCGTTTGTCACCCTATCCTATAAAAAAAACAAGACATTTTAAGGCTCTCTTGTTGGAAATTAAAAATGATTGTCAGAAATTGACATTTTATTGTAATCTACCTACGTACTGTAACATTTAGCTACTTCTAGCAACTTTATGGGGTAAAAAAGCTGGCTATCTAGCAACATTTTGAAAAATGTCTAGCAACTGGTGGCCTAAAGGTTTAGATACCAGGCGTAGATTGAGGATTGACTAGATAAAGCATTCACGTATGCTTTTGAGATAGAAATAGGCGGGAGGTACTTTCACTGGGTTACCAGATATTGTTCAATTTCCCCCGTTATGGGTTTATTTATATTCACGGCACTTACATTCATACAAAAAAAATAATTGTAACCATAAAAAATGTTCTTTTATAATTCAGATGATTAATTCATTTCTCTTGAAAATACATTCTGTGACTAAAAACTACGGGCGGAAACGGCGTAAAAACAGAATCATCATTCTGTATTCAACGGCGAAACGACGACTTTACTGGACATTCAATAAACTCTTTGGATTTTGACGGCACTAAGTGAAGACGCTACTAGCACTAAGTGTGATATTGCTAATAAATAACAATATGTTATGTATGTACTTAAATATTAATTAAGAATAAAAATACTAAATAACAAAAATTTCGTGGTTTTTTTTTACAAAAAAAAAATTCAATAATGTTTTAACATACCATTCCATCACAAGTTCAGTGCTGAACACAGACCTCCGAAAGGAAA